GCCCAGCCCAGCCTCCCTGATGTCCCTCACTGGCCGATCCCCACCAGACCAGAGGTGGGTTGCTCCCAGTTCGGGCCAGTTTGGCTGAACCGGTAGTGGAATTCAGGCCTGGTTGCAGAACCGGCAGCCACCCAGGCCTGCCACGCCCCCGAGCCGCTTCCCTCGCCACCGCTGGGCCTTCCCCATTTTGGCTCTTAGTGACCGTGCGTGCGCAGTTCACTGTAAATTGTTCTGCACATGCGCAAAGAACCATCTAGAGGGAACTGCGCCCCCCCGCACAGCAACCCCACCCCCGCACCAGACGTTCCCAGGCAGAGCCCTGGGCAGGTGAGCCAAAGGGGAGGGGCGCTGGGGGCAGACGGGGGGCTCCCCCCTGAAGTGGGCCGTTTCATGCCAGCCGCCCATCCTGCTCAGAGGGCCTCCGACTCAAAAAGCAGCCCCCGTCTGGATCAGAGGAGACGGTCCCGGGTGCAACTACCCCCCCCCCCCGACCGCCTGGCCCCATGACTCACCGTGCTGGGAGGAGGAGGACTTCTCGAGCATCGATTTGTAGAGGTTCCGGAAGGACCAGCTCAGATCCTGGAAGTTGATTTCGGAGTAGGAGAACTTCAGGTCGTTGCTGGTGCTGTAGTGCGGAGGTGGCCCCTCGGTCCCTTCCCGGCCTTGTCCGCCCGCCACCGTGGCAGCCACCTCCACGGGCCCCGCGCTCTGTTGCAGAAGGCAAGAAGCGGGTGAAGCAGGAGCAGCTGTCCTGGGCCAAGGCTCAGCGGGCCTCCTGCCCCCACCCGGCCAAGGGTCCTCGGGGCCGCCGTCACGCACCTGGCCGTAACTGGGGGGTGTGCTTTGCATGGAGAGCTGCTGGTTGGACTCGGGGGAGAGCGAGGCCTCCGGACCCAGAGAGACGGGCCCCCGGGGGCTTTTGCTGGCCTCCTGGTCCGGGGAATCCTGGGACAGCTGGAAGATCAAAGCAGGCGGAGAGGCCTCAGCACAAGAAATACGGACGCACCTTCTGCACAAACGCCAGGCGCAAGGAAGGCCGGCACAAGCTCCCAAGCCAGGGACCTCCGAGAGAAGCCCCGGGCTCCATCCCTGGTGGCCAAGGCCAGGCACCCTTCCTGGGACTCCCTCACACGGTGGCAGCCCTGGGGGGACCCCCAAAGGGCCGCGTGGGCTGAGAGAGTTTGACAAAACTCTCCTCAATTAAGCGACTGAAGGAGACGTCCATGAAATCTCTTCCGCTAAGCAAGACGGAGGCCTTGAGGAGGCACCGCTCAGCTGTGGACGCATGTGGGAGAAAGGGGGCTCCTCGACTAGTCTGAAAGCCCCTTTTCCCTGGGGAAGGAGGACACCCCCCCCCCTTCTCAGGGCTCTGCTGGAGGGCCAAACTCACATCGTCATCCGGTGGATGGCGCCTCTTCCGGGAAATATCGGGACAGGTGTCAATCGTCCAATAGGAGCCCTGGAAAGAGAAAGGCAGGCAGTGCAGCTGCTCCTCCCCCTCTTCCGCGGCCTCTGCCCTCTTTCCCTTTCCCTGCCCCCCTCCTCCTCCTCCTCCTCC